ACACACACACACACACACACACACACACGCATACACACACAGACCTGTAGAAGATGTTGTACAGAGAGAGAGAGAGAGAGAGAGAGAGAGAGAGAGAGAGAGAATGGAGATAGATAATAGGGAATGACATTGTCGGCCCCTGAAACTGTATTAACGAAAGCAGGAACCATTCCTGGCTTCTTCCATCGACGAAGATCCAGTGGACTAGGTTGTGCACAACACTACCCGAAACAGATTCATAGTAAAAAAAAAAAAAAAAACATTGGTTTCCCGAATAAACTAATTTGTACACAGAAGGCAACGTAAGTGGACTTCCACTTTCGTGCCACGAAGTCCGCAATTTTGCGCGTCAACCACAACGACTTCAGCAGTGTAGACGTGCATAGATAACAACAAGGCTACATTGGAGGTTGTCGCCCCAGTGGACGTCATCGGCAACGAGGTCGACTCACAGGTCTTCTTAGAATGGCGACGGTGCGACGGGGGTGCGCATCGGCTCGTGGATGCAACTTATAGAAGGCTATCTCTCCCGGATAGCCTTCGCAATTTCCATGAGGGCGTGGCACATGAGCTTGTTGACATCATCGGACGCCTCATAGTTTTTTTGGGGGGGCGTCCACCTCGGATTCCATGATCTCGCACTGCCGCATCAACATCGAGCATTGCCTCTTGCTCACACTCTCCAAGGTCGTCGCCATCAGTGTGTCGTGCTGTTCCATTACGTCCGTCAACGCCTCGAATGTTTGCTCCCTCATGTTCTTCCTTTTCGCCAACCCCACAGTGCTACCCGTTCTAAACGAAGAACCTCTAGTCGACCCATCCTCTTCTTCATGTGGCTCACCACGTACGTCGCCCACGCCCCCGCCATCGCCTCTTCCCCCCCCCGAGTCGGATGACATTTCAACACCACCCGCCGCACCCGTGTCAGCGACGTTCCTCGGATGGATGGTGTGATTCTTCAATGTCGATCCCTTGGTCTCCTCATACACCGCCCGCTCCATTACGAAGTTGAATCCATGTGATCTCCTTTCCTTGCCCATCAGCTGGAAGTAGTCCGGTTTTCCGGACTCCTGCATGAACATATGCACCTTCTTGAATTGCTGCATCAAGTTGTCCCATTTTTCCCCCGCAGTTCTCGCCACTCCTAGCGACGCCCACCTTCTTCAATCTCTCATGAACATCCTGCCACTTCCATTCCCTTGGTTTCATGCCGGCAAATGCGTGCCCCATACCCTCCAAGTGCGCATCCTGATCCCATTTCGCCCTCACGAGAGCAACCATGTGCTCCACCGACCAAAAGTTCCTCCCATCGTTCACGTCCATGTCACCTTCGCCATCGCTCCCGCCAGATGCAGTGTTCTCCGTCTGTCATCCATGTGCGGCAGAAGCTTTCTTGCTTCTTCGCCAACCACCCATGGACATCCTGCCCACAGGCCAAATGTCCACAGCGGCCTCTTCGTCGTCCTCGTCTTCCTCGTCGATGTCTTCGAAGTCGTCTACTTCCACCGCTGCCTCTTTATCTGCATCGCTTCCGCCGACATGCAGCTGTCGAACCCCCCTCGTTATCACGTCTTCCTGATCTCCACGAAGCTGTTGCCGATGTGTTTGCCCACACTTGCTGACCCGTCCGCTCATCGATGTCGACTGCGAATCTAGCGTCCACACCGCCCCCACCCGAGTGTCTTCGAGTCACTTGACCTCCCGACAATGGCGATGGCAATTGCACCCGCTGCGAACGAACGACTTCGGGGCGTGTTGTCGGCGCCGACTTCGACTGCAGACAGTGTCGGTCCCTCATCTTCTTTGCTGTCGGCGATCCAACGAACGACCCCCCGCCCGACCGATCGACGAGCGTCGCATCACCCCAATCGCCGTCAGGGTGGGGATTGATGATGCGCGTACATGTCGTCGCCGCTGAGCTCCCGCTACACAATCCAAACAACAGATTGACGTCGGCATGTGCGTCTTCCTTGCCTATACCTTCTTCGAGCAGTTGTGTGTACAATTGTCGGGATGCCGTTTGCCAACTTCCAAAGAAAAGCTCCCCGCCCAATCTTGCGTCGATCCGCTCCCGGGCGTCACGGTGCGAGATCCTACCTCCTCCGCCTCGTCGTCCGTCAGCAGCAGCGGAATTTCGTGCGACGGTAAGTGCGCGTACGCAGACGGATCGTACTGCTGTGACTTTCGAGCACTGCTGTGCTGCACGTGGTGAGCGGTGGGGGAGTCGAACAACGCGCTGCTCTTCGGCTGCCAGTCGTGCATGTCGACACCCTTCTTCGCTGAACGCCTCCTGCGTGTACGGCCAGGCACCTTAAGGTTGATGCACATGTGGAACAGGACGACGACGACGACAAGCAAAATAACGACCAGGAGCAGCACAGGAAGCCTGCGATAGAGGTCGGCCATCAACGACACGCAGGATAGCGCCGCAACTTGACGACGACGGTGGAGGTCCACCAAATGGCAACAGTGAAGGAGGCAAACGGAAGAGGACAGCATACGACATACGCACCGTAATGTTATTCGTCGCGGGCATTGGTTGGGCTGCTGGAGTCAGGTCGGGATAAATATTCAATTTTGCCGACCGTTGAACCCCGCCAACGCTGGCGGGAAACCCCGTGGGAGCATGACGACATCAGCTGCAAGTGCTACATGGGCCCCTCGCAGGTCGTCCTCCAACGTTAGTCCTTGGCAACCCGTTGGGCGCAGGACCGACGACGGCGGCCGAAGATGTCCGTGCACCCATTGGCGGAACACCAAATGGACCAGCTGAAAAAGGAAGCTGCCGCTGACGCATGCCTTCGCCGCTCCGATTATCGCGGATCCTCGAACCCTGAGGGACCTCGTGAGGTCCCTTGCACTAGGGCGACAAATGGCTGGGCCACAAGGATGCTACAAGGATTCCTCGAGGAAATGTTTTCACATATTTTGGAAAAATCTTCCCCGAGGATACGTGGAACGATCACGTCCTCGGGCATTTTACGTGCCCGAGGAGTGTCTAACGAGCCCCTACATTCCTCAATGTCTCTGTGTGAATATGCCCGTTAGAGCATATCACGACGGAACATGCCCTGCCCCGCTGGCAGGGGACTAAAACAACACGAAAATAAGAAAAACAGAAAAGAAAACAACAAATCATTTATGTCCCCACTTTCAGAAGAGTGATTCATTTCTCACTCTGCCATACTTTCCACGGCCTGAGACAGCTATTGTGGGTTGTTTTTTTTTTGTTTTTTTTTTCTGTTTGTTCACCTTTTTTCAGGGCGACCGGGCGTTCACTGCGCGACCCACCACCCAGCCCAGCACGTTAACGGGTAAGCCCGCGGCCGATAGCTGGGCCAAGTACTGGGAAATTACAACTAGTACCCCTGCCAGTGTTGGGAAATTGCAACTTCTAGCATGTACCCGAAGAATTTGGGGGTGGGACCCGGGGTCGGCAAGTCCCATAAATCTTAGTTTTCTTTTGCCCGCTCGTGAAAGGAAAAGAGAAAAAAAAAAAAAAAAAAAAGCTTTCTGTACTGCAATGATGTCGGGCAGGGTAGGAGGTCATGCTCACAGTCTTCCTCTACATAATGCATCTTACAGCAAAGAAGGTCACATTCTGAAACTTATTTTTATCGTATTTTTCCTTTCTGGTTTGTTTGTTATGAGTCCGAGGCAGGGCAGAATCCATGATCTGCTCTAGCTGTGTTTCCTCAGAGGATTGTAACCCTTATCACACTGACACTTAAAGGAATGTATCCAGCCATTTTCACGGCCGAATCTGTGTTTCTGTTTTTTTTTTCTTGTTTTGTGTTTCTGGAATCTGAAAACCTGGCCACGGGGCTGAGATGCCCTCACTGAGGGCACACTCACACTACCACCTCCAAGAATGTATACAACTGCAATCACGGCCAGAGCTTTGTTTCTTTTTTCTTGTTTTCTTGTTTTGTGAGTTTCTTTTCTTTTTCTTTTTTTTTCTATACTCTTCTCTCAACTTCTGTTTCTTTGCCTTCCACTACCTACTCCTAAGACTATCTAGAGGGGACCCCTGCAAGCATAGTTTTTCCTCTCTCTGTGAAGGGGAGATTTCATGTTGCCCCTTGCCCCTAATGGTTAGGGTATAGGGTTGGGGCCGCCAGTGGGGGTCTGGCTAACACAAAGACCGAGACCTGCCAGTAGCTGTGCCTCCCTTTCTCATCGTCCCCCACCCTTCATCGCGTAGCAGCAGAGGCTATGGCCAACACTCTCCCACACACCACACACAACCCACTCGCGCTCACACTCACACCCGTGTTGGTCATAGACCCCGCTAATACCGATCAGGGGTATCCAGAGGACTATCACAGTCCGTTGCCACTAAGTGCGCCGCAGGCGGCCATGGGGCTTGAACCCACAACCTCCTGAATCCCACTTGCATGCCTAACCAACTTCACAGCCACAACTTTTTTTTTTTTTTTTTTTTTTTCCCTTCCCGTGAGAGTACCATAAAGAAAATGGAGTGGGACCCAGGCTCGGCAAAACACGGAGCGCAGTGAAATTCAGGGTCAGCAGAAACAGGCTTAAAAAAAAAAACAAAAAAAAAAACAAAGGGCGTGGTTCCACACCACTCACGAAGTCTTACATCATAAGGGCACCCTAACCGGCCGAGGGTGATTAATTTACCCTAACTTAGTTTTTCGTTCCACAACCCCTGAGGAAGACCGTACACTTACCCGACCTTAGATCTCAGGCGAGGAGGGCCAGGTGTCAGAAGGTCGTTTTGCCTGTGCCGTGAACGACACGCCGCCATGAATGACTCGCTCCGTAGGGTCCCACCCTCACTTTTCAAGTCACCTCCGACTGCTCCCTAGAGATTTCCGTCGTTTTGCCTGGGCCGCCCTTATTTTTTAGGGGCGGGCCCTACAAGCCCAAAATTTGGAAACAATCCGGAGTTCGTTTTCATCGTGATTAGGGTGTTGTGGAACGATGATTTTCTAAGAATCCTTACATTTCAAGTGGTGTCGAACGAGGCCCAAAGAAAGAAACAAAGAAACAAAGAAACAAATAAGAAGAAGAAAAAGAAAAAGAAAAAGAAACAAAGAAAGAAAGAAAACAAAGGAAGATACAGTAGGGAGAAGGACAGCCAGGCTAAGTGCATACTCACACTACCGAGTATTTTCATAAAATTAAAAATACTTTAAAATAGTACATTTTACGTTATTTTTGGGGTCAGAAGGGGCACGTGTTTTGCGTTGTCACGCAAATCGGCACGTAAATGTCAGGGGCCTGGACAGCCGAGGGGTTACGTATTTTTGCGGGGACATCTGGAGGTCCCCGCAGTTGCATATTTCTTTTAGACCTTTTTTCTTTCTGCAAACAAAACAAAAATTGACATGAAATCAATTGGTTTGGTGGGCAAACTCTCATAAGAAGAAGGAGAAAGAAAAAACAGAAAAACGGGACCGGTTTTTATGCATCGCGCTGTATGACTCATCGGCCCGTTTAATCACATTTGGAGACCAGGTCGAGACTGCATACTCTCTGTTTTGTGGCTTGTACCGGTGTGCTGTGTGACTGTGAGGTGCTGTATAATCGCAAATTGGCTCACGTATAATTTGCAATTATACGTGCTAGTGTGAGTATGCCCCAAGGCACAAATACTGAAATTCTTCCAGGATGTATGGGTTGATGATCCCTTGATCCAAATAACAGGATATGTGAGGTGTACGGCGGTGGGAAAATTTGCTTGGAAGGGCTGGCTCCAAGGGGAAGCATCTTGGGCCAGGAGATCTCTTGACAGTTTCCATATTCCGTCATGGCACCTCCCCCAGGATCACTCAT